TAGCTTTGGGTTGTCACTCTCTCAAAAAACTCTAGAAGGCATGGCAGAAGAGCCTCTCCTTCCTGGCCGTCATGATCTCAGCTCTGTTGACCTGACCAGTCTGGGAGGAGGAGCAGATCCACTTGTTCTCATTGTCAAAGACTAGATCAACTCCAAACCTAAGACCTTTCCTTGATAGCAAGAAGACAGAAAACATACCCAGAACCCTGACAGCAACAGTACTGTTCTTTCTGCAAGTTAGCCTGCCCTCTATATGGATTTCTCCAAGGAAGGGAAAAAGGGCATTATTCAAAGACATGTCTAAAACTTGAGAGGTGAAGGAAGAATGATCAGAATTCTGTTCAGTTCATCCTTGACCACATGGATGGAGGGTTTGAGGCTAGCCTGGGCTATATGAGACCATGTCTCAACAGAACAACATCTGTGAACCTAAGATGGAAAAGGAACACTGAGGGGGGAAAGAAAGTTTCTTAGCAGAAAGTGTTTAATTTCCTAAAGCAATTAGATTCCCCAATCTGTATTTCCTCCAGAAAATTCATAAATTAAGGGTATGGAGACATTCAGAAGGCATTTTTAAAGCAGAAATAACAAAAGGCTTTTCCTGCCATAACAGATGTAAGGGAGTCTAAACACGTCCAGTGTTTATTGGAAAAACATCTATTTAATTATGTAACACATGCACTTTCTCTATAATCTTCAGTCCAGTACATCTTTAGAATGTCAACAAACCACCAGCATTCCATATACTCAATCACTCATTCGCTTGACTGAGATATAACTGTCTTTTAACATACAGGTCTCTCCCATAGACGCAGGGGCATTGGCAGAACAATTTAAAGTTCAAAGCCTGTCTAGGCTACAGAGTGAGTAAAATCCTGTCTTGATTTCCCTATTGTTTTTAAAGATTTGTTGATTCTATGTATATGAGTGGTCTGTCTGCATGTATACCTGCATGCCAGAAGAGGGCATCGGATCCCACTACAGATGCTTGTGAGTTACCATGTGGTTGCTGGGAACTGAACTCAGGACTCAGAACCTCTGGAAGAGGATCAGGGCTCTTACCTGCTGGGCCATCTCTCCAGCCCGATCCCCCCCCTTTACGTTACATTATTTACTTATCTGTTGTGCCCGGGAGACTGTAAACGTCAGAGCTTCTTCCACCATGACAGATCAAACTCAGGTCATGAGCTTTACTCACTGAGCCACCTCAACAGGCTCTCAATTCACATACGCACGCACACACACACACTCTCATGCACACATATACACACATGTGTACTCAAACACACATGCACTCACACATCCTTAAACATACTCATGCACATGTGTACTCAAACACACATGTACTCACACACACACACACACAAATGAGGGAAACCAAATGACTTCCACACAGTTAATGGGTCAAATCAGGAGGGATCTGAACAACTGGTTCTTTCTTGTCTTTCAAACACTCGCCACAAATCAGCCCTTCCTTGGGACTAAGTGCACCAAACCAGGAAAACCATTTCCCACTTCCTTTCCTCAGCAGTCAAAAAAGCAGAAAAAAAACCAGCCGAAATGGCAAAGCAGAACTCTAAGTAGTAAGCTTTCAGTAGAGAGAGAGCTCACTCTTAGTCTTAAGGGCAGGCAGCACCACTCTCAGAGATCCTGCTGTGAGATCAGCAGAGGTCAGCAGCACCTCTTGCCAAATGAAGGACCATAAAATTATTAAGATATTTCCCACCAGCACTTGAAGCCTGCATCTATTACCAGTTCAGGTCCATTCTCCTTTAAGAGACCTGGTCAGGCTGGAAGCATGCAGAGGTCTGAAATTCCTCTAGTCAGAGGGTCATAAATAAGATCAAAGTTTTCTCCTGAAAAGAGGCCATGTCAAAACCGCTGGTGAGTGATAAGAAACAAACAATCCTCAGGCTGTGGAGAAGGGCTTCAAGGAAAAGGTAGTTCAGAATAACTTTCTCCCCTTCCTCTTCTTTTTCAACTCCCAGCCCCGCCCCCAATAGGAACTGCAGCCAGGGCTTCACACATGCTAGATGAGAACTCTAATGCTGAAATATAGCTGTGAGCTTTTTAAAAAATTTATGAGCTGCGGGGCGGTGGTAGTACATGCCTTTAATCCCAGCACTTGGGAGGCAGAGGCAGGCGGACTTCTGAGTTCGAGAGTTCGAGGCTAGCCTGGTCTACAGAGTGAGTTCCAGGACAGCCAGGGCTACAAAGAGAAACCCTGTCTCAAAAAAAAAACAAACAAAAAAAAATTTATGAGCTGATGTATTTCTGTGTGTATGCATGTGCCATACATGTGAAGGTGCCAAACAAGACCAGAAGAGGACTTGAGACCCCCTAGTGCAGTGGTTCTCAACCTTCTCAATGCCTTTTAATACAGTTCCTCACGCTGTGGTGACCCCCAACCACGAAATTATTTTTTATTGCTACTACTTCTGGGACAGCCTGTCCTACATAGAGACCCTGTCTCAAAAAAATAAGTAAAATTAAAAATGTCAACGTGTATGGGTGTTTTACCTATATGTTTGTCTGTGCACCGTGCAAGTGCATACCTAGTGCAGAGGCCAGAAAAGAGAGCGCTGGGTCTCTTGGAATCAAAGTTACAGGTGGGTGTAAGCTGCCATGTATCTGCTGGGAATTGAACTTGGGTCCTCTGGAACAACCAGTGCTCTTCACTGATAAGCCATCTCTCCAACCTTCTAATCTTCTTTTTTTTTTTTAAGTTTTTGAGACAGGGTTTATGTAGCCTTAGCTGTCCTGGAACTCACTATGTAGACCTAGTTGACCTCAAACTCACTGAGCCCCTCTTTCTTCTGCCTCCCAAGTGCTGAGATTAGAGGAGTGTACCATAACTCACAGTTTAAGCTCACTTTTATAACCATCTCAAGTAAGGCTTCTATAGCCTAAGGAACATAAACCCTTACATTCTCTAGACTACCTCAACCTTTGGGAAAGATTTACCACAGCACAGTGGGAAGCCAGACATTTGAGAAATTTAGTTGGTTAATAAGAAAGGCATGGAAGAGGCTGGTGAGTTGGCTCAGCAAAGAATACCACTTGCTGCTCTTGGGGAGGAACCAGGTTCCGTTCCTACCACCAACAGGGTGGCTCTTAACTATGTGCACCTCCAGTTTCAGAGGAGCCAATGTCCTCTGTGTTGCATGCACGTGGCACACAGACACACACATGCGCAACAGACATACATGCACGCACAACATCCATACACAGAAAATACACACTAAAGGCAACATAAATTAAGATGTCTCCTCTTTACCACTCCCCTCCACCCCCTTTTCTTGTTTGCAGTGCTAGGAATCAAACCCAGAACCTTGCACAATGCTAGGAACCACTCTAACACCCAGCCACATCCCAGTGCTGCTGGTCCTGTTCTTTGCCAACAGACTTTGAATGGCAATGGATCCGTTCTCTCAAACACTTCTAAAGTCATTAATGAAATCCCAAGAGAGTTGAGTCTTGCAGTGACACAGGGTTTGGGATTCTAAGTGTGGTGGTGGCAGGCACAGAAGCTCCACTGGCCTACAATCTACCACTGAGAAATCTGAAGTAAATTTCATTTCTGTTGGAGAGTCTAGTTTCTAGTCTTTCTCATCAAAAAAAAAAAAAAGGTTGATCACCATAGAGATACAGGAGAGACACAGACCCAGACCAGAAACACCTGTCACTTTCACAAAAGGACAAAAAATAGAGGGTCTGGCTGGGAGATGCCTGAAGGTTTAAACCCATCACTTCAAGCCCATTTTATGAGAATCTAATATCCGATTCACTAATGAGCTCTCTCCTCAATTAATTCCAGTAATGAGTTATCTATTCTTGTTCAGCCAGAATTCCTGCCCTTCTACTTAGCAAGCCTAACGAGCCTCAATAATTATCCATCCCTAGTGGGATGCCACTCACCAAGTCAGTTAGGACAACCTCAAGTTAGCGTTTCCATTTTCCCGGGTCAGGCTGACAGCATGAAACACCAACTTTAAACCATCGAGTGAAACCAGCTTTAAAAAAAATAATCAGGGGAGAACGAACTTCCTCCCCTCTCTGGAAATTTCTCTGCCGGTTCAGAGTTGCCAGGTCAACAGGGAACAGCAGCATTTATTATACGATCTCAAAGGCACTTCCCCTCAGCGGCACCCATCCCAATTATCCAGATCGGCCCCACCCCCAACAGCATCTTCTCATTTTTCACCATGGGCTGAAGTTTTCTCTAGCACTCCAAGACCACACTAAGGCTGGCAAGTCGCATTCCTTAAACCTCTTCCCTCTGTTCCCCAAACTACCTGTAACTGCAGATATTTACTCATTATATTTTATTTATTTCTTAGACTTTGGGCGTTTGCTATAGCGATGAAAGCTTTAAGGGCATTTATGGCCCTCCGTCCTTTAAAGGCTGGGATTCGTGCCCCCATTTCACAGAGGAGAGAAGCTGAGGGCCCAAGGTCATACAGGACATCTGACCTCAGTGTCCTCTACCTTTAACCCTCACGCTGCCTCAGCCTTCTCATCGGCGGCCAGTCTGTTCCGGGAAGGGCTCCTTTTCTCTCCAGGCGGTCTCCCCCCTCTCAAGGGCGGGCTTTGGCGAACTGCTCCCCATTCCGTTTCTTCTCCGAGCGCCCCCTCCCTTCCACCTGGCACCGCTTCTCTAAGGCCCCTGTCACAGCACCTCCTCCAGGGCCAATTCAAACTTCCCATCCGTCCCCAGAGCAGGTCGGGTCCGCTATGAGGAGCCGCGGGCGAGCGGCGTGCTCCGGGGAGGAGGGGGGAGGGGAGAGGGGCGCGCAGCCCGCAGCCCCGCCGGGTCTGGGCAGCCAACGCGCGGCCGCGGGGGGCGCGGGCGGCTGCGTCAGGGAGGAGGCCGCGCGTGCGGGCGGGCTGCGGGGTGGCGCGGCAGGAAACGGCGAGTCACGGAGCGCGGGGCCGGCTGGGGCGGCGGCGCGGGCCGCGGCGGGAAGGGGCGTGGGGTGGCCGCGGGGTCGCCTTCCTACCTATGCCGGGCGCCACATAGACGAAGTAGAGCAGCGAGGACGACAGCGAGAAGAAGAAGAGCGCGGCGAGCAGCGAGCGGCGCGGCAGCCGCAGCAGCCCCCGGCGGGCGCGCATGCTGAGCCGGCGGCCGCTCGAGGGCCGACCCGGGCCCCGCTCCCGCCGCTCCGGTCCGCCGCCTGGGCCTCGGCCGCCGCCTTCCGGGCTTCGCGCGCCGCCGCCTCGCCGCTTTCAGCCGCCGGCCGCCGCGGGCCGGGCCACATGAGGCGGGAGGGGTCCGGCGACCAGAGGAGCGCAGCGGCGGGGGCGAGGCGGTGGGGGCGGGGCCTGTCGAGAGGGCGGGGTGAGAGGCGGGGTCTGATGCTGAGGGCCGGGCGAGGGCAAGGGCCGCAGTCTGAGGAGCAGATGGGGGTACCAGACCTGAGGCAGGCCTGATGGGGACCGAATAAGGGCGGGGCCTAGGGTGGGGGCGGGACGAGGGCGGGGCCTGATGTTAATGGTGCCGCCGCGAGCCTGAGGAGCACACCGGCGGGGACCGGGCCTGAGGTCTGCTGAGGAGGGGGATACGGGCAGGGCCGCAGGCGTAACAAGCATTTTTGCCGGAGACTGGGCCTGAGGCCTGACGGGGAGGAGAGGAGGGCGTGGCCTGAGGCAAAGGAGCGGGAATGGGCAGGGCCTACAGTCCGGGGGAACTCATCTATGGGGCGGGGCCTGGACACGGAGGCGGGGCGGGGCGGGGTTCACGCGCGTGCACTCTAGCCGCAAGATCCTCGAGCGGCCGCCGCCCATGCTGGCAGGAAGCGTCTCGCTAGTACGAGTTGGTTCCCGTGCGAGTGGTCCACGTGGGGGTCGAGGGGTGGTGGACCGTGTCTGAATTGCCAGGTAGCCCACCGCTGCAGGAGAGCAAGGATGCAGAGGCTGGGGCACTTGTGTTCGCCCTTCTTCATCCATTCATTCCAGACACCATTTATGATAAAGTGGCAGTTATGGGTCCTGGGGCAGGGAATGCTCCACGGAACAAAGATTCCTCTGGGAACCAGCATTCGTTTGGATAAGAAAAAAATCAATAAGAGCAGATGATGATAAGAGATATGGAAATAATTAGACATGAAAATGTTTTGGATGCATTCTCCTCTAGCCGGGAGTGGGGGGGGGGTGGCGCGGGGGAAGCCTCCCTTCCTGGGTGACATGAACACAAAAGAGAGAGAAAGTGCAAGCTGGAGAAAGAGCAACCCCACTAAGGAGAACAACAAATGCAAAAGCCTGAAGGAAGAAGGGGCTTGATCAGCCTTCAATGAATCCAAAGCCAGCATGAATAAAAGCCCAGGAAAGGAAGAAAGACCCAAACAAGGTCACATCCTACAGGACAGAACAATGGTGGCAACTGTCAATGTGAAGACACCAAAGAGACAGGGCTTCTTAGCCAATAACAGCCTCTCTTGAGTCCTGAGGTAGTGGCTCCCCTCCCCCCACCCCCACTTTTGGCCCTATTGCACAGATGAGAAAACAGAAGTTTCTGGAAAGAGAAGTCCTCTAAGTTGTGAAGTAAGGGCTCATATCGAAAGTGGCCTGCCACCCAGGCTTGACCACTAACCCCATTTCACATTCTGCGCTGTCATGAGTGCTTCCGAGCCCCAACTTGCCCATCATCTTGAAAGCCAAGCTTTGGTTTATGTGTTCCTTTTGGTTTCCCAAATCAGAGCTCCACAAGGATTTTGTTTCATATTCTGCTGTGTCTGTGCACAGAGCTCAGTGCCCAGTTTCCAAAAGAGCAGCAGAGGGATGCAGAACATCTGCTAACTCCAGAGGAAACAGAGATGGCTAGTTCCTAAAGTACCAGAGCAGGCTCCACAGGAAAGTAAGTAAGCTCGGGGCAGGATTCCTCAGATGGAAGGCATCCTAGGAAGTTCAAGAGGGAACCAGTCATGGTGACACATTCGGCTGACCTCCACACTTGCATGCCAATGCCTACAAGATAAGTAAAATAAATATTATAAAAAATTTTAAAATAAAAAGAGCATAGAGCCGGGCGGTGGTGGCGCACCCCTTTAATCCCAGCACTTGGGAGGCAGAGGCAGGCGGATTTCTGAGTTTGAGGCCAGCCTGGTCTACAGAGTGAGTTCCAGGACAGCCAGGGCTATACAGAGAAACCCTGTCTCAAAAAACCAAAAAAAAAAAAAAAAAAAAGAGCATAGAAAGCATAGAAAGTCGAGGTGGGTTCAGAAAGGGATGAGCTGGGTCTTTTCAGGATGAAGCATCTGGTCCTGGTAAGGAAAGGGGCGTGGTCAGAGGCTCAGCGGGAACCTAAGGACATCTAGTCCTGTTTCTTCCTTTCTTCCTCTTTCATCCTGACCAGTTGCTTCTTGCCCCTGACCAGTTGCTTCTTGCTGTGTCCTTGCCCTGTCCTCTGACCTCTACTCAGTAAAGCAGAGACCTCTGTAAACACGAGACTTATGAAACGGTCTCTGTAAAGCAGAGGCTCCCTATTCTTCCTCTCTGAGGTTCCACAGTGAGGACTGAGGACAGAGTCTCTGTAAATCCAGCCTGTAATAGATACTGAAGCAATTTGAATCATGTTTGTTCTTAACATAGCGAATCCACAGTCAGCCTGGGCTAAGGAAGACCCTGTCCCAAAGAAAAATCACAAGTAACAAGGTGCCCTGCTCTTTCTCCAAAGTCCCCTGAATGTTCCGCATGCCTGCCCCGAGGGGGTCATTACACAATGCATAAACCTGTAGGAGTGAGATAGCATCTTCGGGCAGGACTGTCTCAATTCCACCTCCCGCAGGCAGAAAAAAAAACCAACGCCTTTGTAAAGGTCACCCAGGTCCAGGAGCCGCTGAGCTCTTTCTCCAGCCTAAAACCCAAGTACTCGGAATGTAGTTGACTGGGTGGTTCCTGTGGTCAATTCACTCTCTTTAAACAGAAACGAAACTCAGAGTGAAAAGGAGAGGTAGCACCTGAGGCAGCGGCTTTGAGAGCTGGTAAATCCTCAGGGTTTACCAGCCTGTATTGCCATCACTTCAGAAACTGAGGCCAGTCCAGGGGCTGCTGTTTATGTTGGTATAGCCTGGCCTATCCTAACTGATAAGGATTTTGCTACATCGAAACCTGCTTCCTGAAACCTTTTCAAAAAAAAAGAGTCACTTAATTTTAATTATGTGTATGTTGCAGGGGCAGGGGACTGTGTGAACACAAGTGCAGGTGTCCACCAAAGCCAGAAGAGGAAGTCAGATCCCTCTGGAACTGGAGTGACAGGCAGTCCAAAGGCAAGGAGATTGCCACAAGTTCCAGACCATCCTGGGCTACATAGAATAAGACCCTGTTTCAAAAATCAACAAGCTTAGAAAAGTTAACACATGGGCTTCAGTACAGGCCTGAGTATCTGTGTTTGAACCTCAAAAACCCACATAAAAACTGGATGCACAGCCCAAGTGTCTGTAATGTGGGTGCTACTGTGGGAAGGTGGGAGGCAAAGTCAGAAGAGACCCCAGAAACTTATAGGCCAGCTAGCTTAGTGTGCTCAGCACACACACATACACACACACAGAGGCACATATGTATACACACACACAGGAACACATGTGCATGAACATGCATATACCCACAAACATATACGGATGCATACACATGCTCACATATACAAATACAAAAAAAAAAAACCCTCTTATTTTGTTTAGGGTGTAGGAGGAGCACTTTTGAAATGGTCTCCTATAGACCAGGCTAGACTGAAACTCCGTTAGAGGGTAACCTTGAACTTCTGATCCTTGGGCCAGAGGCATGGCTCAGCCTCAGTAAGGTCTTCTCACCAAACTCAGGTCCCACTTGGTAGATGGAGAGAACTGACTCCTGCCAGTTGTCCTCACATCATAGCTTGTGCACACACAAAATAAAAATGAATGGAACTTTTCGAATCTTAATTTTTTTATGTATTTGATGTGTATGGATGTTTTGCCTGCATGTATGTCTGTGCATCACATGTGTGCAGTGTCCATGGAGATCAGGAGACAGTGTCAAATCCCTGAGAACTAAAGTTACAGGTGACTGTGAGCCACCCACTGTGTGGGTGCCGAGAACCTGACCTGGATCCTCTGGAAGGGAAGTTCTTAACTGCTGAGCTGTCTTCCCAGGCTCAAAGGCAGAGCTGTTTCTGGGAAGTGTCACACACCCCTTCCTGAGCTGTCACTGACTGATGAAGCAGAGCGTGGTGACCAGCCAGACCTCGCCAGAAGCTCAGGCCAGAAGGCCCTGTCGATGTCGCAGGAAGCACATGGCTGAAAACTAGAAAGGGTGTCTCTAAAGAGAAACACTGTTGCTCTGGTAGAAGGAACAGGGGTAACAGCAGATGCCTGGGGTCCAGGCCTTCACCTCTTTAACATTCCTTTTATGGCGCTGGAAACACTGCAGTCTCCTTCCTCTCATCTGCTTAAGACCCAGTTCAAATATTTCTCCACAAGGCAGAGTCTCAGAATTAGGGTGCTAGATTCTATTTATTTTATAGCACTTCATTATTCCTCTCTCTCTCTCTCTCTCTCTCTCTCTCTCTCTCTCTCTCTCTCTCTCTTTGTGTGTGTGTGTGTGTGTGTGTGTGTGTTTCTCTATGTAGATCCTGGGGATCAAAGTCATCAGGCTTGGCAGCAAGTGCCTTTATCCCCTGGGCCCAGGAGTTCCTAAATAGATGTTCCTGAGTACCACCCACTTCTCCACTAGAAGAGACTCAAAAGCTTCCCATGGTATTCCAGCTACCCCGCAACAGGGATGTGAATGAAATCCTTTTGTTATTCTGGGTTTATGCTACAGGGTCTCACTCTGTAGCTCCCACATTCTTGGAACTCACTATGTAGCTCTGGTTGGCCGTGAACTCAGCAGTCCTCCTGCCTCAGCATCTGAATACACACTGTCATCCAAGCGAGGTCCTGCCAGTGAGAGGCTCTTCAGAGTGTTCTGTGTGTCAGTTGACTAGCCCGTCCTGTTAGCAGGAGAGGCACCAGACAGGCTGTCTTCTCTCTTGTCCCCAGTTTGGAGGGTGTTGTGTGACAAGGCCTCAGCCATGGGTAGTTTGGCCATGACCCCCTGCCTATTGTCCCAGTGGTTCTGGATCCCACTATTAAATCCCT